ATGAAAAGTTCAACATCCTAGTAAAAGTAATACTAGTTTCTAATACCAGGTTTAAAAATTTTATTGCAATTAGTCGTCGATTTTATGCACCTGGATGCCTGCGGTCACCCTATTTTCGAACTTGCCACCAGAGCGGTCGAAAGGGGTTGGCAAGGCACGCTATCGAAGCAGGCCATGTTAGAGGGGAACCTAACCTGTGCCTACCTACTTACTGGTAGTACTTGTGCATGATGAGAAAAAAAAAATTTGGCAATCCTTTAACACATTATACGCTGCAATATTATCGAAGTTTGTAGTTAAACGATCTAACTAAATAAAATTAAAAAAAACTAAATAAAATTTTAAAAAAACTAAATAAAATTTAAAAAAAATTACTTTTACAAAATTGGTTCGGAGAAAAGGGTGGGAGAGCCAGGTAGGAGGGGGGGCGCCGAACAAGACCCAGATTTAATGTTCTGTAAATTATTTCTTTCCTACTTTTTTAAAGATTTGGTTTGAAAATTTATTTATAAGCTACTTTTTATTAATTATATATTCTTAGGTTAACTTTTTTATGGTTAAAGTTCTCTCAACAAAAGCTTTACTGAAAGAGTGAAAAGAAACGAGTGCAGCAGACAAACAATTTGTTTGACATTGAATGACATTACTTCGTTTCGAAATGTAATTTTAATTCACGTTTTTCATTCAAATCTCGGTGGGGGTTTTTAAGAAATCAGAACTATTTAGAAACAAGACTAAAAGATTAATTTCTAAGATTAGATAATTACCAAGTTCTTAGAAAATTTTAAGTTAACAGCAAGAAACATATACAACGTTTTCCTTGCTTTAAAATTTAGTTGTTTCTGCTCTTTGTTCAAAATAATTACTTTTAAAAAAATTTCTGGAAAAAAATAAGACTTTTTTTCCCTAAAAATATTTGCTAATAGCAGACTTGATATTTTCTTTTACCCTCTGATTTGGCCGAAACGCGTATTATTGTTGCTTTTAGCGTAGCGCGTATATTTTTATTTATTTAATTATTTTTATGCATAGTTTTATATACCAATATTATATACCAATCTGACTAGAAAGCACCTAATATTTCCCAAAGGTTATTTGAAAGGAATAATCATTTAATATTTCTATGATGGCTGTTCATTCTTTTAATTATGTGTTTTTAATTAATTTTTAACGGTTATTTGTTAAGATATATTTCATAAACAATTTATTACGAGTGAACTTGTCGCTTCGTCATGCAAACTGTTATCGTTTTAGATACAGTGAGTGAATAAGGGAAGAAGGATGAAGAAAAGGATAACAATGAATGGATCCGTGAATAGTTGAATTAATGCTAGTCAGTAATAAATAGCAGAGATTTTGTTCATGGGCGCATCATTAAAGTGTGAATGACTGAGCTGATAAATGCTTAAAAATATTTATAAACATATAAACTGATTCATGGCAATCGACGACAAAATGTTTTTCATTTTTAAAAGAACTTTTAACAAAATGACGATATATTGAATACAAATTATATCGATAATGTAAATCAAAAATGAAACCGCAAAAACAACTGGTTTAGAATTGTCCATAAAAGTGTTTGTGACTGCTAAGCCCGAAAAAAAAATTTTTTTTTAATGTTTATGCCCATATATTTGAATGTTATAAAAGATCATTATATTATATTATATACACATTAAAAATATTACCTATGATAAATATTAATTCCAGAATACTTGAGTTGATATTATCATTAATTAAACTAACGATTTTAAACTTGAATGCATTAATATTATACCTACAAGTGACGTGGTGGTGTGGGTATTTCGAACCAGATTGGTTGTTGAAGCGTGGCATTTGTTTACTTTAGTAACTGTTCTTTCCATTCTATTTCGAGTAAGCCATGCCCGACAAGTATCAATTCTCTTAAGTAACACAGTCTACATTCTTTCACAAATATTGCAATTCTTTCACAAAAATTGCAATTCAAAGCCATGTGGACCATAAGCTATAACTAATTCTGCATCGAAGCTGCCAGATACACAAGACAAAAATATATATCATAATAAGAGACAATACAATAAAATATATAAACAAATAATAAATCTTAAAAGTAAAGGAAGTAGACTAATTATATGTGCGATACGGCTCTGTATTTAATAAACTTATCGTTGATTAATTTATCGTTAATTAACATCGTAACTTATGTAGAGAAACTTAGCTAGACTTATATACACTTATATTATATAACTTATATTACTTATCTCAACTAAAATACAGAAACAAATAATGTGATAATGTGTGATACACTAATAATGTGTGATACGCCTCTCTGTACATAATTAACTTATCGTTAATTAACATTCTAACTTATAAGAGAAACTTAGCTCAACTTGAATACGCCATTTTGCCGAGAAAGATTAACTGGTGCTGACATCATAGGTCACATAATGGGTATAAGAGGTTTTCTTCTTGAAGCGCAAGTACCCAATTGTAATTTACCTTGTTAACATATTTCCCAAATCAACATTTAGGACAGATATAGATTTTATATTTCTCTGATAAAAACATCATAATTTAAAATTAAAAAAAAAAGCATTTCTCCACATCGTTATGATTTCGACAGCAAGAAAAACACCAGAAGACGTTTTCAGTATCGTCCGGGGCGCAACAACGTGTTTCGTCAGCACTGCACGCCACTATTCTCTGGATAAATATTTTTTTCTACATAAAAAATAAAGCAAAATAAATGTACTATTTTAATGATGTCTTGTGAATCTGAAACATCTTTTCATTGTTGTTCGTTAGGTTATGTTCCTCTTTAGTGAACGGTTTTTCTATCGATAAAAAAAAGAAATAGCGAAAATTTTAAATTGTAAAATAATCTACCACAGTTTTTAAAAACTGAAAATCACCTGTGACCTAATTTCTAACACTTAGAAAGATTTGTTAGCAGTCTTTTTTTCTTTTTGTAAAAATTAACTAGTTTTTTACACATCTTCTTCTGCTTCTTCTATGACAGAGCATGACAGCCTTTTGTGGGCCAGAGCCTTCCCAAGAACCTTCCTCCATTCTGCTCTTTTCCCAAATATGCAAAATATATTTCCAAATCAAGTCAATCCTTTTCATCAATACAGCATATTTAGCATTAAAGGATGTTATTACTTCGATATTAGGTACCTCTAAATGGATTTTTTTAAACTTTCTTTAATAAAAAGTTTCAAAAAAGTTATACTTCAAATTTTAGTCCTAAAATCACGGACATAAAAGCACTAATTAATATACTTTTGTTCCACATTTACGAAATTCGTTTATCCAATAAAAATGTCACGTAAAAATAATTTTTAATGAACATTTATAATTATTTAATTTATTTATCAGCTAATGAATTTTGAATCCTATGAAGCTCGTAAAAATATCTTTCACATTATGTTAAACTAGGGAGCCTATGGCATTCGTGCCACAAATGTCACACAAAACAATCCCAAATAATTATGTTACGTAATATTTTTTTTAAAAGTTTTTTTTCTTTTTTTTTTCTTAGTTTAGTAATTTTAGTAATTTGTATTTCTTTCCTAATTGTTACTCCCTTTGCTAAAAATAAATATCATTCACCACTTCACCTCCCGCTGACTGATGAATTACCACTTTCTACTCCGAATATTGAAAAATTAGTAAAAATTGTGAAAGTTCTTCGCCATTATTATTTGTTATTGAAAAATCATGGTCTCATTTTTTTTTTAAATAATTGGTTTTGAATACTAATTTTCTCTCATAAAAATGATTTTCCTTTCTCAGTGGGATTCATTTTCATAATTATTTTATTAAAATTAAATAGTTATTGTAATTCAATTAAGAATTTATAAATAAACGATATTTGTTTTCCGTATAAAGTAAATTAATTTGTTTTACCATGTTTGCAAATTGTAAAGCTAAAAATATGTACGATTTAAATTTTAAGTTTCGGAATTTAAGGGGAGTTGGTAGGGCATATACAATTAATGCTAAAACTGACCTTTTTTCGATTCACCTTTTCTCAGCATCTAAACAAGATAAAGATTCAGTTTTTTTGCTTTTTTCACAGCATATTTACATGTACATGTTTACATTGCGGTAACTCTTAATGCATATTTTCAGCAGAATTTTTTTAAAAAAACTATGAACTGTAAACTTTTAATTTCTGAAGTAGTTTCATCAAAAATTTTAAAACAAAACTCAATTTTAAAACGAAAACTCAAAAAGTATTGGTGTTAACTTTAAAACATTATCACAGCATGCAACTGATATAATCTGTAATGTCACAATATATATATATATATATATATATAATCCTATGAAGATGAATACCAA